GTAGCAAGTTGTACGAGTGTTGTCATAGGCAGCAATTTGGGACTAACCACTGACTCTTAGTTTGAGCCTTCAACGATCGAGAGTGGTCCTGACCACGTCCTTACAACTGGGGAGGATAGGAAGGATTGTTAGTACGACACACTTGAGGGATATGTAAAGGACCCATCATAAGTGTCAAGGGAAGGGTGGAATTTGTTAGTAGGGAGGGTATGAATCAATGGATGTTTGATAAACGTTACTGGCAATTAATGGAAGCTACAAATGTTTCAATAGAACGTGCCAGAGATTGAACCTACGACCTTCTGCGCACTGAGCAGATACTCGGTACACTCAACCACCAAGTCCGTCACAAGCAGGCTTTGGGTAGTGAACCAAGCACTTCGAGCGATAAATGTTGATCACGGTTCACTGAAATTAATATTCGATTCATGATTCCGATGTTTATTCAACTGATACAACTGATAAATGTTCAAGAGCTAACTTGTAGAAACATTTTAACTATTTACCCGAACCACTCCTCAAAAAACCATGGTGAACCGCACTGGTTTACGAAGCCACGTGGTTCACCAAGGTTGTCCAAAACACGGTTTACCGTATGCGTGATAATGTTTGCACCATTGAGCCATGTCAAAATTTAAAAAATTCTCAAAAATTTCGTTTTCGCGTTTTTTTTTATTTTTCAAAGGGAGGATGTTTCTGAGAGTCTTAAACTATGTTGATCATCGCTCGAGTTTCCACTTGCTGCAATTATGGCCTCCATAAGCGTCCGGAATGCACAGTAGGTTCTAATCATGTAGTCTGGATCAATTTCTCTCCAGGTACCAACGGGTCAATGTTTGTCTGAGGCTTGCTGTACTCGGGTGGCGTTTAGAACAGGCTTTGGCCTTCATGACGCGCCATATTGAGTAATCCAGCGGATTAAGATCGGGGCTGGATGGCGGCCACATATCCTTCGCCCAGAACGGAAGATGTTCCTGCAACCACTTCTGAGTGCGGTTCGAAGTGTGGCACGGAGCCCCATCTTGTTGAAATACAACATTTGGCTTCGGACAGTACTGTTCTTTGATCCACGGAAGAACATACTTACTTAAAATCCCGATGTAGACCTCCGTGTTGACCTTGTCGCCTTCTGGAATAAACACCGGGTCCATTTTTTTGCCATCGGAAGCCACCAATCCAAACACCATAACGCTAGCAGGATGCTTGGTCAGATACACGTTCTTGTGCTCGTCGGCCACGTCTTTTACCGGAAGAGAATTAATATACCGGTCGGTTCTGGAATTTGATAAGGGATCGACGGTAAACATGCTCTCGTCGGTGAACAGGATTACCGGATTTTTTCGCTTTCATGTGAGTTTTTTTTCCGTGCCCTCGACTTCGCCCCGCAATCTTCCTTTACGATCTTCCCAAAGTCACTGATCCCATGTTCCTTTGCCCTTTTGCTTATTGAACGCACTGGATTCACCCGAATCTTCCTTTTGATAGCAGCGATAACCCTCGGAACCCGAACTGACCTCGGACGACCTGTGGCCACCTTCGCGGATAGTTGTCCTTTCTTTTCTCGGTCTAAAACCCTTTTGACGGTCCACTGGGACACTCCCACGGCGATTGAAATGTCTTTTTGCGACATTTGCGCGTGGGACAAATCACGAATACGCTGCCACTTCGTCATGGTGCAACTGTCAAACTAAGTAATTTATTTTCTTTTATACACAGCCTACTATGGTATGTGGTTATGTGCATGCAAAGAAAATCAAAGCATTCTATGTACAGGTGAAACGGGAACCTTATTTGTACGATGATGCAAACATTATCACGCATACGTTAGGTTAAATCAAGCTGAACATTGCATTAGGTCCTAAGTAAACATTGATCGATTCTCTTCGTCGACTTTTTCTTTCGTTAATAACTTGAGCACATAACCGTTTCTTGTTGTGTTTGTCATATTAGATCCTAGATAAAAGCTTCTTTTATCGATCTGTGTGCTGAAAATACCTGGGAATGTCTTTTCATGGCCGTGAGGTTACAAAGAGAAAGTCGAGGAAGAGAATCTGTCAATGTTACTTAGGACCTAACGTAATGTTCAGCTTGAAATGTTCTAATCTCTTTGTCACGTTGGTTCTTGAACATCTATCAGTATAATAAACATTTGATTCCTGAAAAAATCACACATTTAAGTGGACCGCGATAAAAACTTTCCAGAGCAGCTTCGGTTCACTACACGGTAAGAAAAAAATACTCAAAATTAGGTTTAAAAAAACTCACCGTTGGGTTCTATCAGAATGAAGAAGTGAATCAGAAAAGCGACGATGGGTAAAATTTACTCATCTCTTGAGTAATAATAGATGAACTCAAATTTAAGGTAATTTTCTGTTAATCATCGTTTAGCTCAAAACGTAGTATTTGTCATTATTGATTGAATTAGTATTCTCCGTAGTTGTTTAAAATGTACATGTTAGTAAGTTGTATTGCGTAAAGTAATTTACGAAGAATATCCTGAAATATCGATCGATTCATTCCGTTAAACTAAAACACGCTGCGATTCAAAGTAGAAATGAACTCAATTTTCAGTTAATAGTACTCAACCGTTATGTTTTCACCGTTGGGTAGTTTTAACTTAATTTTGGATGAAAATCATAGCAACCTGCACTGCCATCGACGCTGTCATTTGTTTGTGCTCCATCGCCTCCGTTCCTGCTCAATTAGTCCTCGCATTAGTCTTCGTTAGTGTTTGGTATATATCCCGCATAAACATAAGAAACGCCTAACCACCAATTCAGGATATTATCACAACTCTATGCGGTATGGTCATACCATCTATGATATCGTTTGTGTATGGTATCCGTAGCGGGTAGTGACAAAAAAAGTTGCAATGAAAACCGGTTGGATGCTGGTACGTTGGGTATTTTTCACCTATTCCAGTCGATTGATCGTTAGGTAATTTTTACTCAATGGATTCTTCATCAGGATTACTCAAAATTGAGTTTTCTTGTTTAACTTAATTTTACCAAGCCCCACTGAAGCCACGTGGTGTTGAGTGAAAGGAACTTAATTTTGGGTACTTTTTTCCAACCGTGTACCCAAGTCTGGTCCTTTCTCCTGCAGGATTGGCTCCAAGTTAGCCATGAAAAGTTCCCACAGGAAGGGAGAAAAGGGAATTTCCCTTTGGGGCTCCTTTCGTCTGCTGGTAGAAGTTATCTCGGAAAGAGAAGTACAGTCAAGTTCCTATAGTACAGTTAATAGGGACCACACAATGAGAACCGGCATTAACAAATACACGTAGAATATGGGATTAGAGCTAACTGGGGACAAACAGTTCAAGATAGAGCTAGAATCAGGGCGTAACAGCTTTTGTAAACAATGCCTTCTATCTATGATTTCTAGATAAAGGGCGAACACGAAATTATTGCGACATCGAAAATGTCATGCCAATTTTCTCATAATGTTTAGAATCAAACCAAAATTTTAGGGTAGTTTTATACATATATTTACTTCAAAAATCAAAAGAAAAGTTAATCGATGGAGCCTTGAGTGTAAAATTGAACGCATTTTCGCTTGATGCCCTCCATCAAAGTCTTTACAGTGTCATCCGGTACCAGTTTCTCAGTTTTTTTTTCCATTTTCTTAACATGTCTTTCTCGTCTTTGACTGTCTTCTTGCTCTTCCGAAGTTCCCGCTTCATTATTGCCCAGTACTGCTCCACCGGGCGCAGCTCCGGACAGTTTGGCGGATTCATGTCCTTTGGAACAAAATGGACAGAATTGGCCTCATACCACTCCAGGACACTTTTAGAATAGTGGCATGATGCCAAATCTGGCCAAAATAGCGGAGCTTCGTCGTGCTGCTGCAAGAACGGCAAAAGGCGCTTCTCGAGGCACTCAGATTTGTAGATCTCGCCATTTACTGTGCCCTTTGTCACGAAAGGCTCACTTCTCAGTCCGCAAGAGCAGATGGCCTGCCAAATGAGATATTTGGAGGCGAACTTCGACATTTTCTTCTTCTTAAATTTGTCGTCCACATCGAACTTGCTCTTGCCGGTGAAAAACTCCAACCCCGGAATTTGCTTAAAATCGGCTTCTATATACGTTTCGTCGTCCATCACACAGCAGCCATATTTTGTCAGCATCTTCTCGTAGAGCTTCCGTGCCCGAGTTTTAGCCGTCGATTGTTGCCGCTCATCGCGGTTTGGGAAGTTCTGTACCTTGTATGTATGTAGTCCAGCTCTCTTCTTTGCATTCTGGACGTAGCTCTGCGACATGCCGATCTTTTTAGCCAAATCACGGCTTGAGACGTTGGGATTTGCTTTAATCATCCGCTTCACCTTTCCCTCCGTCTTTTGTTCTCCGGTCCCGGTTTTCTTCCAGCTCCTTTGCCGTGGTCCAACGTCAACCGCTCCTGGAACCGCTTCAACACTCTGGAGATGGTTGAATGGTGAATGTTCAACATTTTTCCCAACTGCCGGTGCGACAGGTCAGGAAATTCCAGGTGTTCCTCTCAACTCGCGTTGGTTCACCTCCATTTTCGTTGAATCGAAAAACACGACTTCGAGTTTGACACATCAATGAGAATGTGTGCAAAATTTGGTTGATTTTTACCCAATGGTAAAAAAGTTATGCCCTGTTGAATGTGTCGCAATAATTTCGTGTTCGCCCTTTATTCAAGGCACGCCCACGCAAACCAACATAACCATCGGATAGGGGATTAGGATGTTGTTTTGCGTGTTGTGTTGATGTTGAATTTCTAGAAATTATCGAAAGAAGTCATTGTTTACAAAAGCTGTTACGCCCTAATTCCAGCTCTATCTAGACTTATTGTTGGATAATTTGAAGTGATAACTTCCTGGTGTCTTCTGGAAAGTTATTGAGAAGATAGATGACTCACAAGTAACATGTAACTACTCATTGGCTGTTCATGAAAACTGTGTCAAATTTGTTTCCATTTCAACAATCCCTTATCTACACAACTCTACAACTTACCCATCAAAACTCTTTCCTTCGCAGGTTACAGCAAATACAACTTCTGGACGTCCGGCAACCGACTGGGCACGGGAATGTTCCTCTGGATGAGCACTGGACTGCCGTTCAATGCCACCTTCGACTATTTCGAAAAGTCTTCGGACGCCACGACGGGACTGGACCCCCTGGATCACAACAGCAACACCTCCCCTCAGCGCACCGCCCGCGACAGGTACTTTGATATTTTTGTTTTGGCAGTGAGGACATCGTTCCGATTGAAATTTGACTAACGAAATACCAAAATCCATTCAAACTTGCAGCAGCAGCGGTATCGAGCGGGGCTGCGTGCACCTGAAGGCACCCACCCTTCGGTGGGAACCCGAGGACTGTCTAGCGGTGAAAGATTTCATCTGCGAACAAACCAGATGCTACTACTACAACTACGGTAGCATTCCCGTCTCGTCGGCGCAGGGGTAAATATAGTTCCAATTAAAAATATAAATCTCAACACCGAGAAAAGCAAAAATATCAAATCGAAGCAATTAAAAATCAGCAAATAGATCCACACCATTCGACAAACACAAATAAAAAAAAATCAGAAAGAAAATCAAGAAACAAATAGACTATCAAGCCACCGGACACGAATCGGTATTGTTGTTGATGTCGTGTGCAAAACCAGGATTTCCAATCGCGCAATCCTGCCAGCAATGAATGTGTGAAAAGAGAGAGAGACAGAAACAGTAAAAAGTATCTTTTGCATCAATGCATACAAATCAATAAAAAAAAAACAAATAGTTGAACGATTTCAATCAAATCCCGGTAGAAGAACAAATTCCGATAGCGAACTCGAAATGATGAACCCATAGGTGAGCTAACGCCATTTCCACCATCTATATGTTATAATTAATTGTTGTTTTTGTTTTTCGTTTATTCGTTCACCATCTCTTCATCCTCTCACTCTAATGGATTAAATCTAAGTTGGATTCTACCGCCTCATCTTATGTTTACTTTCCAATGTTCTTCGCACACTAACGATCTTCTCCTCATTTCTCGCTACATCGAGTATTAACACCCGACCGACCGACCGACCGACCAACCAACCACCCACGACGGCCCACGGATTGATGATATCACGCTCTAGATTTTGCAGGATGTACGATGGGAAGATGATTCTTTCAAATTGAATTGCTCTCTGTAGCTGTTTCCGACAATTACGGGGAAAATTGGATTAAATCCCTCACGGAAGCCAAGTCCCATCTGTGTAATCACTTCGTCCGGTTGTTATTGTTCAACGAGCGGGTCGATGAACGTGCTGATTGCTGATTGTACTTTTTTCAGTGGGTGATTATCAGTAATTTGGCAGTTGAATTGTTACAAGAGGGGATATGAGCGGAGTTGGAAATCGTCGAGTAATTTTGGTTTGCTAAATAGAGCCACTAGTAGGGTAACGACCCCATAAATCGGCCATCTTTCGCCCACTTAGTTCCTTATCGTTTTTAACGAAATTCAAGCAAACTGATGCACAGTAGTCCAGAACTGTGAAAAGACGGTCATTGTCTCGTGAATCATACATTTTTGACTAGTGGTATGTTGGGGAAAATTTCAGTATATGAAAAGTCCCTTCTTTTGACACTGACAGATCAATGATTAATTAATTGCTATCAAACGGCAAAAAATTATATTTTTCTAACAAAATCAAGTATGACTTGCCTATTTCAGAACTGCTAACTTCTGCCTTATTAATTTGTGAATCCAAGATGGCCCACAGATTCTCTATTGGGTTCAGATCTGGACTCTGTGGGGGCCATTCAATAGGTTAAATACGGCAGGAACGGAATAATACCTTCGTCTTCTTCGCGGTATTTTTCGGGTCGTTATCTTGCTGGAACGCCAATTTGTATTCCCGTGCAGTTTTAACCAACAAAACCAGAAAATTCTCACGCAATCGGTCAATGTAGGAATCTGCTATCATAATACCACAGACAAACATACATAACACTCACCATCATATTCTTCGCAAATAAAGGTGTAGGGAATGTGCTTGCATTTTTCATGGTGTTGCCACTGCAGCGTTTAGCAAGCCACTAAATTTCAAACTTATCAGTGATGCCAGTTATATTTCAGGTCACTTTAGTATATGTCAGCTCTTGATATGGGGGCCAAGGGATCCCACCGGAGACATATACAGTATTGACTTTTTGAAAATATTTTCTAATGTTCTACTTAACCCATCCGATTTTGCAGTGCTCTTATTGGACCAAAGTATACCTTAAACACGCATCTTGAAGATACATGAGAATGATTTGGAATTTCGATTTTATGAAATTATTTAATGATAAAAATCTTATGCGTGGAGGGGTTGACAAAATCGGACCACATACTACACTGACGAATACAGAAAAAAAGTTGTTTAATATTATACCCAAACAATCGATTGCTCATTCCGCTTGTTGTGTAATATTACGCTGTACGATGTACACAGAATTTATGAACAAATCATTTTTATGAGTGTAATATTGTATCCACTTAACAACTAGGTGTTCAATACATCATGAATAACACTGATTGATACATATTGTTTTTTTTTGTCTTCGACTGACCATGGTTGGTCCATCTCGCCAATACATTTTGTTTGTTTTGTACACATTAAAGTGATGAGTGATGCATCAATACATTAAAAAACTTGTTGCCAACAAAAAAATCACAAAACAAATCCCTAAAAAAGAATAACCTTCTGTGAATTTCTCCTACGGATCCGTATTTCTGCAAAATTCAATCAATTCTATAGATTTACGGAAAATTTCGTGCAACCGGCATCACTGACTTCCATCTGTTTTGTTTTTATTCATCACAGCTGACGCGTTGACAGAACAAGGGAAAAGCAACTAGTGAAAAAATTGCATGAACGAGGGGTGCTCCGGTTGCTAAACAATGCTTTGGAATGTGCACGATTGAGGGTGTTAGTGTGCATACAAAATACGCTTGACGATATTTTTTGAAGAATTTTCTTCTAAGAGTTATGTCTGTTTGTCTGTAATAATACCATCAATTTTTACCAAAGCACCCGTGGAAGACAAACACCCCCAAACCCTCACATTCCTGCCGCCATGTTAAACTGTTCCCTGGAAATGCCGATTTTGAAGCACCTCTCCAGTTCTACGCCATACACGAGCCCGCTTTCTGCTGCTGGACAACTTGAATTTAAACACCTCAGTCCACAAAACAGTCTTCCAAGATTCTAAAGGCTTATCAGCATGTTCCCGATAAAATTTTTCGTCGATTCGCTTTGTTGACTTTGCTAATAAATGGCAACTTCTTTCACCACCAGCTCTGCATATCGTGTTCGACAATCCTTTTGCGTAGAGTGCTGTCTTAGATCGGTTGCTGAATTGCTTTCTTGATCTTCCTGAGGGTAACCTTCGGGTTGTTCTGAATTACTCGAATCATTCTGGCATCTGTTCTGGAATCTGTTCTACGTTTCCTTCCCCTTCCTGGACGATCAGCTTTTGGATCATATGTTTTGTATTTTGCTCAAAGTTCGGTAACCGATGCTCTGCTGTATTCATACGTAAGAAGATCAACAAACACTCGGAAATGTCAACACAATCGAAAACGAGGGGTGTTTGGATGTAAAAATTACATAAACATAACATATTTCCAAGTGGCCACTATATTATGACACACCAAATTCACACCACTTATCGGTTAGTTCAATAATTCGTCCAAAATGTTTATCATTAATATTATCAAGCTTAATATGAATATGATTTAATTAGATAACTTCAAAGATAAAATGTGTTGATGAGACCTTTTTCTGGCGGTGACTGTTTATTGCAGAGAGACTTTATCGTGGTAGTAGTAGCAGTAGTAGCAAGCAGTGCTGATAAAAATCATTCCTTCTACACTCAACTTGGCTGAAAATGTAGACAACCAACTACCCGCATGAATTTGAATTTTGACATAAACACATTCTTTTGATCAAGGCAACCTCTGAGTATTGAAGTAAACATTGGTTTTTGGTCATTCAAGCCTCGATGTTTATTATCGCCTGTGTTGTTGTCAATATCAATATTCATCTTCATCTTGATGGGGATGATTTTGAGGATCAAATGCATAATGATTATTTTCATATTACACAAATATAGAGCTGTAGAACACGTTGTGTTGGTTTTTATACACAAATTGATTCAAAATTATTGCATCATGCTGAATTATTGAGGTTTTAGCATAGAGGTAACTCTAAGACTAGTAGGTCCCGAAGAAACGTGGTCAACTTTTTGGCTCAGCTCTGGTACTATCTTCGGTCCCAAGCTAATCGATGCACCCCTCGAAACATAGGAAAATCCACGAACCCCTCATTTTATCTGTCAAACTTTTATAGCGAATCAAAACACACATAATGTAGTGCTAGAATTTCGACTAGAATGGGGTACGTTAATCGATTTGCTTGGGACCAATAGGCTAGTCAAATAGTGAGCCAATTTAAAATCGTTAGTTTTCACCGGTTCGTTTTAGGCTCTGGAGTCAACAATATTCAAAATAATCATTTTGCCCAAAATGAATTTGATTATTTTGCTTTTAAGGATCGCTTCTGATATTGACAACTTTGGATTGTATAATCAAGCAGTGGTGAATATCAACAAACGCGTAATCTTTGATGTATAATGACTTCATTTGTTCATTTTGCTCGTACGTGAATGCGAAGATATTCAAAACGAACGTAATTCATCCACACTGGGTTAAAGCGCTACTGCTTGCGTGTGATGGTAAACGATAAAAACAAACACTGCAGTAGCAAGCGGTAGCGGTAGCGGTAGCAAGCGTTTTGTCTCTATTGTTGGTTACTTTATATGTTTGGATTTGCTGGTTCTAGTTGTTGTCCAAATACTTGAAAACATTAATATGAGGTTGCTATGTCAATAAACAACAAGCCTGATGTTGTTAAGGGCTAAAAACAATGCACAATGGTCCCAAAGCCGTGTTTAGGAAGACAAAATGTTTGCGCACAAACTGTCAGTTCTAGGTATATGGTGTATTCGGAACGTTTCTTCATATTTTTTGGCCAATCTTTTTATGTTAGTGAAATTAGGATGGTCCATAAAATTTATGAATTGAAAATACAAACTTTTTCATTATTTGAGATAATGCAGTGTTCTAAAAAGTTGTAGAACAATCAGTTTGAAGTAACATTGCTGAAGGCAACAAATTTCTTTCTCTTATGGTTCATGGTTTTTTGAACAAGCAGGTTAGGTTCTTTGAATATCTTTTCATACGTTCATTTTCGTTGACCAAATCTGGATATTTTTCGGTCCGGGGAGTTGCCAGGTTCTTCTGGAAACTAAACTGTCATGCAACACATCAAATTACATGGGGATTTAAAAATAAGATCATTGGTGGCCATATTAAGTACTCAGGACCACGCTCTCCAGAAATGGACATATTCCGGTTATCCCCGGGGAAGTGGGCAGATTCTTCTTAAAACCACAAACTCATGCGACACATCAAATTTCATGAGAATTCGAATCACTGGTGGCCAAATTCGTACTCAGGAGCAGGCATGGAAAATCATTTACATTCATTTCGTGCATTCATTTGCATTCATTTGCCTCAATCTTTTGTCATCAACAGAATTCCGTGAAATAATATATGTAGCTTTTCTAGGTTTTATGACTAACTACAACTTTTGTGAAACACTCAAATCTGTATCTCTTATGCATAACGA